TGAAATCGGACTAAATTTACCGGTTATATGAAAAACGGCCGTAATTTTAGTCCGATTTCAACAATTTTCAACGGTTTGCTTTTGTGTGGCAAGCACAATAACCGTACCGAGTTTGGTACAAATTGGTAGAACGGTTACCTAAACACATATATGTGATCATATGTGGGCGGTGCCACGCCCATTTTCCAAAATTTTATCATAAACGTATTTCTTGGTAAAGAATTGCTGCGAGCATCAATTTTGAAAATTACCGTTATATGGGAGGTAGGCGTGGTTATTGTCCTATTTTGCCCATTTTCAATACCATCCGTCCTACGCCCGAAAGAAGTGCACGTACCAAGTTTCGTTAAGATATCTCAATTTTTACTCGAGTTATCGTGTGCACAGACGGACAGACGGACGGACGGACAGACAGTCACCGCTTAATCGATTTCTTTTTTCATTCTGATCATTTATGTACATATACATTTGTCTATATCTATCTCGATTCGTGTTGCCTGTTACAAACAACCGTTATGTGAACAAAGTTATAATACCCTTGTGCACAAGTGCGCTCGGGTATAAAAATCATAAAATTGAAAATATAACAGCAATATTTCTTGTTTATAAAGGATTAGATCCATCGCACACCACGGACTTTATCGGCCGCCAATTTAGATGCGCTCGCTAGTCTTTCCATTGCACCACAACTTATTGGTCAGGGCGATTAAGCTGGTGTAATGTGCGCACCTCCATACATCTTCATGTAAATGCGAAAATGACAAACTCAAATTTTGCTTTGAAATAAGCGTACATCTTTATTTATAAGCACATAGAAACAATTTTGGAAATTGCTGTTTAAAATCTTCCCAAATTTCCAAAGGGTTTTAGAGTGTCAATATCATATCAATTAATATCATTTTGTAGGTGGTTGTTTGGCACTAAACGTTTCTACTAATAAATTAGCAATTTATTAGCGCAAATAACTCATACCTTTTGCATAATATTAACAGAATGTATATATCCTAATAGTGCAAAAATAGTGATATTTCCACATTTAGTATCGTTACTAGAGCAAAGGGTTTGGAAGCATACAAAACTATTTTAATATGTACAGTGTACATTGCACACAAAAGTCGATGCATCGAAAAAAAATACATCGATATATC